GAGGATGATTCACCCTCTGCAGAGACAGTTGCGGGGTCTGATGATGGGGATGGAGGGGATTCGGAAGTGGAGTCCTCCTCAGCCAAACGATGCCCGTTCATCATCATCATCATGCCGTTGCTTCGACCGAAACCTACCGAACCAGGTGCTCCAAATCCAAGCTGTTGTTGTTGTTGACGGTAGTGGTGTGGATTGCGCAGCTGTCTCGGATGAGAATAGAAGCGTCCGGAAACTGATGGGGAATAAGAAGAGGGCGGTGCCAATTGGGGACCATAATAAGAATATGGAAGGGACCGAGGTCGGCTAGCGACTGGCACAGCTGTTGGGATTGAGTACATGGAGGGTAAAGGAGGATTACTCACACAGGTATTGGCCACTGAGGAAGAAATCGAGTTGGCTGGATCAGATGTAAGTTCTGTATTAGTCGATTCTTCTGAAAGAGGATCCGAAGGTCCAAGGACAGCCAATGGCAACATATTAGGTGTCGTTGCGTAAGCCGGAACCGGGTGATCACGTGGTAAAAAGTATCGGGGTGACTGTACCGGGATGGGAGCCGAGAAAGGAATACCGGTGCCGGATCCAAAACCGATTGGACCGTAGTGCTGGAAACCATGTAAATTGCCAGGCAGTGGATTGTAAGGATTCATATAGGGTGAGAAATTGTTTGCTGCGGCCAGTGCGGCGGCGTGTGCGACGGCGGCCGAAGACTGTTGAATGCGAAATAGTTCGGCTTCTAATAGTCTGGCATAAGTCTTGTATCGATGGATCTGTCGGGCCAAATAGCAAAACAAAACAAATAAACAATTATATAAGAAAACCTTAGGTAAACAAACCAGTAGTGATATGAGGAAAAACCCTCAATATTTGTAGTAGACCACTCAAAATCCCGGGACTTTAAGTTGCTGGTTTTCATGAGTGTATAGCAGGTCGTGGTGACCATAGGATTGAACCTGTCTGTTGTTCATCACACAAGGGTGTGTTGGAACAAACATCGTTTTCCGGATAAGAAAGAAACTATTTCAAATAAACTTGCTGATTGACTATTTTTTCGACAACTTCAATCGATCATTGAACAAACAGAACTGCACAGAAAAAAAAACAGACTTGTATGCAACAGACGAAATATGAGATAAGTGATCAAGTATGGTGAGAAATTTTAACGAATAATGAGCCCCATGACGCAGCTGTTAAAGTCACTATCTGGACAGAACGCTCGCTTGAACAAAACCCAAAGAAAACGTTTTAGGTATACGAAATTTCGATAAAGATAAGACGCACCTCAGCTTCCGTGAACTGTATTCTTTCTTCATGTTCGGCACGCTGCTTGGCCGTGAGAACCGGGCCCAAAGTGGTGTCTGCAGTGCCGCACAGGGAACCTGAGCTTGTTTTGCGTCGACGTCCCAAACTACTGGTGGAAAATACCGAAATCAAGGATACAGTGGATGAGGAGGAAGTTGGAGCCGCCGTTGTAGATGTACTGTTGGTGGTCCCAATTGTGCTGGACGATTCCGCACTGCCGTCCTCAGTTCGCTGTTCATTAGAGCCGATGGAATCGGTTTCTGTGGAAGTGGTGTTTCCAATGGTGGAGGTGTCATCTTTCTTAGTCCACTTTGGTTCCTTATTAATAGCTCTAGCCAATACGGCAGCAGCTGCAGCTCTGGCTGCGTCACTGGTCCGACCGGATATGGACGAGGCACGAGTTGGCTTGAGTGTTTTTGAACCGCTTATAAGAGGCAAGCGTTTATGCAAATCGGACAACTCGCGCCCAAGTTCAATCAGACG